CCCCCCCTCCACATCAAACCATGACATCAGTACAACTTGGAAGAGAGTATGAACTCACTAGTTAGCTCAAGGAACTAAACTAGGACACTCAGTTCCATGTTTTGTCTCTTAGCTAGGCAATTACAGTCTGTACTTTCAAACAAACCAGTAACTTCCAAAGTGCCAGTCTGAGAACCTGCACAACCTGTTGAAGTCTTATATTTAATTTATAGGGTCAATCATAGAAATGATGATTTCCCAGTATTCGTTTCTAATATCAAAAAGTTCTGGTTACCCTGTCATCAGGTACAGTTGTTCATTGGTGCCATGACATGTCTGTTAGCCACTTAAGAGAAGCTCTTCAATTTTCTGATTATTACTAGAGTGAAATACTTGGTTCTGTTCTGAAATTCATGCTGTTAGACTAACAGTTTTGAAGTTTGCACTGAATCAAATAGGCAGCAAATTGAAATGATATTTTTTTCAACTTTTTAATGTACTTCCTGGCACTGATTAATTTCTTGACCACTGTCAGATGTGTTTTCTTGAGTTACAGTGGTTTCATTTTTTTTTTTACATTTAATACCCCTGCCTATTTCAGCCGTGGTTCTGCTAGTTATTTCAGCAAGATGAAGCAAAATGACAGAGAATGACTTTATAGTATTACATTTTCTTTTCTACACGTTAATGTTAAGAAGATAAATGCACTAATAAACTGTCAGCTTTAATTAAGTTTAAAACATAGGGTTTGGCTCTGAGCAGGGAAACACTGCTAGCATTGTGATGAGGATGTCCTTTGTGAATAATGCACATGACATTCATAGTCTTTTCTCACCCTTTTCTCAATTCTGAAAATATATTCCAATCTTCCATATTGCCTCAATTCTCTCACTTAGTGCCCCTAAATAACTAAAGAGGGTTCCCTTTCTGTCCCTCTTTTTCCTTTGATTTACCAGGCTTCTTGTGTTCTAGTACACCATGTGTTACGTCAACAATTATAGGTGATCGGGTGTCAAACCATTCCAGTCATAAGGCATACATTGATATATTGCCTGATTATATAAAAGAAGACTAAAACCCAATATGCATATTATATACAATGCATAACGAACAGCTTTTCTTTCACAACTTCCCTGTGAGTCTTCTGTCTGTGGAAAATGGGATTGCTATAATTTGCAAGATGAACCTTATGTCTTCAGTTCCCAACTTGCTTTTGCT